AAAGTATTAAAATGTATCCGGACTTGAAGAAAACCTTTTGGTGGAATAATATGAAAAAAGAGGTAGCACTATTTGTGTCTAAGTGCCTGACATGACAGCAAGTAAAAGCTGAGCATCAATGGCCCGCTGGGTTGTTGCAGTCTTTTCCCGTGCTAGAGTGGAAGTGAGAGCACATCTCTATGGATTTTGTCTCTGACTTGCCTAAAACAAATTCAAGACATGATAGCATTTGGGTCATTGTGGACCGGCTGACCAAAACTGCCCATTTTCTGCCGATTCGCACGACATACACTTTGGATCGACTGGTCCAATTGTACATTAAGGAAATAGTACGGTTGTATGAAGTTCCGGTCAGATTATATCGGACAGGGATACTCAGTTTACTTCTAAATTTTGGGCTAGGCTACAGTCAGCCATGGGGACGAGACTCACCTTTAGCACTACCTTTCACCCCCAAACTGATGGACAATCTGAGAGGACCATCCAAACCTTGGAAGATATGCTGAGGGCCTGTGTCATTGACTTTACAAGAAGCTGAGATGACCATTTACCCCTGATTGAGTTTGCTTATAATAATAGCTTCCAAGTCAGTATTCATATGGCACCATATGAAGCCTTGTATGGAAAGAAATGCAGGTCACCCATCTGTTGGGACGAGGTTCGTGAAAGAAAGCTTTTGGGGCCAGAAATTGTCCAGGTAACCACAGATAAGAAGCATTCATTCGAGAAAGGCTCATGACAGCTCAGAGTCGGCAATAGAGTTATGCTGATAACCGACGGAGAGATCTTGAATTTGAAGAAGATAATCGAGTTTTCCTAAAGATCTCACCAATAAAAAGCATTATGAGATTTGACAAGAAAGGAAAGCAGAGCCCATGTTACATCGGACCATTTGAAATCCTGAAGAGAATCGGAGGTGTCGCTTATAGACTTGCCTTACCACTCGAATTGGCAAACGACCATAATGTCTTCCATGTATCATCACTATGAAATATCAGCTCGACCCATCCCATATCTTGAAATATGAACCTTTACCGATCAAGAAGAACCCATCTTTCATTGAGCAACCGATTTTGATACTGGATAGAAGGGTATAAGTGTTACGCAACAAGGAGATTCCTTTGGTTCGTATATTATAGCAGTACCATTCAAGAGAGGAGTCGACTTGGGAACAAGAAAACTATATTAGAAAAAAATATCCCTATCTTTTTCAGTAATTAGGTACACAAATTTAGAGGACTAAATTTCTTTAAGGGGGAAAGAATGTAACTTTCAAAAATAAATAAATAAATAATTCTTTATAGCGTGATGGTCGATATAAGTATTATGGTCCTTAGGGACCATCACCACTTTTGTTGACTTTTTCCCTTCATTACCACGTCCTTTAGTTGACGTGGTGCTTAAATGTTTCACGTTTAATAATATCGTCACACCTCATGTATGAGGTGGAGCTTAATAAATAATATACTAGTGTCTTAAGAATTTAAATAAGAGAGGTGAGGACTCCCACCCTAAAGAACTTTTGTATAAGCTCTCCCAACACACAGATCTTTTTCTCTCTAATCGAAAAGCAGTGAGCTCCTCTCTCTAGCCGAATTTTTATTGGAAGCTCCCTCTCAAGTATTTTAGGTAAGTGACTTTATGATCTTGAAAAATAATCCGTTCTTTTTAAAAATAAAATGAAATAATTACTTCTGCTTATTATCATAAATTTTAGGCACGATAAATTTTATGCGCAAGCGACCTCATTATTTTGAAAAATAATCTTTTAATAAAAGTGTGATATTTTATCTATGTTAGAAATTTTAAATGCTGTAAATTCTTAGAAATAAATTTATTTACTTGTTTATTGTTAGAGAATTGTAGATACTGTAAAATTATTAGAAATAAATGCGATATTTCTGCTCTTAGTAAAATTGTGAGATTTCTTTCTACTGTTTTTGAATATTTAGACATTGTAAAATTCATGTGCAAATGACTGCCTTATTATTTGAAAACTGATATTTTTGCATTTGATTATAGCATTGTCTGTGAAATGTTTATTTGTAAATTGATATCCCATAAATTGTGATAATTCCGTATTCTTGAGTTTCTATAAGAGTTTTTCTATACATATTAGATTAGCAATTATGCTAAAATGTCTTTACAAATTGTTACCTTTCTGAATTTGAGCCCAAAATATTTGACTGGGTATTTTTGAAATGTTATTGAAAGTAACTGTTATTAATGGTTTCAGTGAAATTCATATTAATAATTTCAGTGATATGTTGAGTACATGATATTGCTGCTTTCGAATGTTTAAAGAGATTTAGAAATACTTTAAGTATGCAAGTGGATTCATCCGGTTCACCGGTAAGGTATAAGTGGACCTATCCGATACGTCGGTAGAGATTAAGTGGACTCATCCGGTACGTTGATGAGGTATAAATGGACCTATAGGGATTAAATGGACCTATCTAGGATGCCGATAGGGATTAAGTGGACCCATCAGGACGCTGATGGCGTATATAAGTGACCTGCTTGGGACGCCAGTAAGGTAATTTGTGAAATCCTTTGAATTATGCACTGCCGTTAAAATGTTATATGCATTTCAATTATTCGGATTATACTTAATTATGTATTTTTTAAAGTGAAACTGTTAATGCATTTCTGTTAATAGATCTCCTTTTTGAAAATATTGATATCTTTCAATCATGATTATTTTTAAGATTATGATGATCATTTACTGAGTAACCAAACTCATCAA